TATAGAGAGAGAGCGAGAGAGAGAGAGATATTTGACTTACAGGCTCACAATCATCTGGATTGAAGTCAGAGCATTTTGGTGTGATCTTCTCTGTCACAAACAAGCCATTCATTTCACTGCAGGAAATATTCTCACAATTGTAATGTTTCACTTCTCCAACCTAAAAGAAAAAAGGAAACATGCTTCATGAGGACTGAAGAACAGAGAAGGTTTGTTGACTGGTGAAATAGATGGACATAGAAAAGTTTGTGAATGTTTTAATATATACCTGGAGAGTATGTGTGGTGTTGTCCGGTGCAGTATAAATGCAGCTGATTTGCTTGCATGTTCCACAGCACTCTCCTTCTTGTTCTACACGCTCAAAGCCCTTGGAAAATCAAAAGAGTACTAGATTGTAGTAAATTCATCAAATTGAACTTGATCTTTTGAGACACTTGATGTACAGACTGTAACTACCAGAACTCAAAACTTCCTCCTCAGTCCCAAAGGGCTTTACTAGAAGTTCAGGCAAGTTCAGAATTTATAATATAAATCTATCCTAATGTTTCATATTATAATAATAAGCATCAATTGTAATTATTACCTCAGCACAAGGTGAACAGACTTTATTTACACATGCCACAGAATGTAGTTGGGTCTGTGGGTCTTTATCCATTTGGCAGTAACACTCCAAACAAGGCTCCGTAGGGATTTTAACTCCAGGCTAAAAAGTGAAAGTGAACCCATCATTATAGAAAAGTTTATGGATTTAGATAAAGATTACACATTCTTCTGGATTCCTTTTTTAACAGTGAAAAGCATATAATGTAATGTGATATAAATATGATATTTTTGACATTTCCTGTTTGTTAATGTTACAGTTAGCATGAACATATGAACCCAGCAGCTCACCTGGTACTCAGTGTTATTGTGCACACATACATCTTTGGGCACTGAATACAAAAAAAATACAGTCAGAAATTGTTTAGAAAGTTAAAGAGCTTTAATGTAATTAATTAGCAACTGTTGTAGTAGTATACTTTGAAGTTTAATAGTAGTTGTCTGGGTATGAAATTAGAGACTTACCACATGGTGGACAGCAACTGTCCTCAGGTATCTCTGCTGCTAACTCATATCCCACATCACATTTCATAGAACACTGGCTGGTATCACACACTGAATAGGCAGAGGAGGCATTATGTAAGCATTATGTAAATTATTCTGAAATGTTTTATTGGATTTTACACGTTTACAGCTGGTTCTAATTCGATGTGGTTACACATTCAGATAAAATGTGCTTTGAAACCTTTATTTCACACAGTCTGAATGTCTACTTTGGGGAAGTTTCCTACAGATATTCAACTAGATTTCCCCCCCCCATCCAAAATTGGATGATGAAATTCTATAATGAAATGAAGCCTGGAATTTTGGAAGAGGACTTTGGAGAACTACACTGCTTCTGACACTGGCACCCACTTTCAAGAAAACATTTTTAACTGGACATGGAGATTGAATATGAAGTTCACAGTATGATTTTCAAATCTATTCCTTTACATTAACATTACGCTGCATTAATTTACTATTAAGATTTTAGAAAATAATTAGCTATTGATCAGAATTTTTCCCTGTATTTGTGGCCTAAATGATATTTCAGGAAAGTTGAGTTGAAGGTTGTGTTGTAATCTGAAAACCTTTAATTGATAAATCATGCACAGTTAGATCAGAAATTTGTACTAGGACAGTAAATGAGGTCAGTTTTGTTATCATGTTTATTTAATTTAGTCTGTTTAGCTCTCTGATTGTCATTGTACTTGATTACTCACCACAGGTTGGACAGCAGTTTTCAATGATGCTTTTGTATTCGTGGCCACAGGGCTCTATGGTTGGACAATTCATAGGCTCTTGAACAACACCAAAGCTCTCAGTGGAGCATTTGTATGTTGTGCAGTTCACGATCCATGTATCTCCTGGCTATAGCAGAGGAAGTAAGGTAAAGATATGGGTATAATATGGGGTAGAATGTATTCAAATGCAGTTTTTACTTTGACTGAATGAGTAAATTATCTGTATACAGCCATTTTTTTTGCAGTAGTGTAATGGTTAAGCTCTGCTTTTTACACATGTGTAAGGGGGTAGGGGCAGGACTAGAGTTAAAGGCACAATATGCAATTTTCGTGGCTAGAGGGCACGTATTCAAAATAAACAAATAGACAAAGGCGTAGTTTGATGACGCCGTGACTGAGTGTGGAATCATGGGAGTTGTTGTCTTCATCCCCACAGCCGATGCAATCCGACGGGACTCGGGTAGAAATCATGTTCATGGATGAGCTAATGATTTATTAACGTAGTAAAATGAAGCAGGGTGAGACTGAAAGTCGTCGAAGCGAAACGAGGCCGCTGAACGAGCGTGATACATGGCTCGAAGCAGCGGACCTTTTATTATGCCACAGTCGACCGCTTCCGCTCCTTCCGGTCGTGCGTATGTGGGGGGGGGGGGGAAGCAGCTCTGTTTTATCATACTAGGTACATTTGAAAGTTCTGTTATAATGCTACTCTGTGCGGTCGTCACCGGTCTATGAAAACGCACAACATATTAAAGCGTGTTTGGTGTTTCGGAAATCGAGGGGTTATGACGTCATGGGCAGGCGACACAATGACACTATGGACACGGTCCGTGTCACTAGTTAAAATTGCTTATTTCTCTGGATTTAAACATTCTTCGAAACATTTGGGATAATGTAAGTACACAAGTCAGCAAAATATATAACACTGTTCTAGTGGTTTTTGGATATTTAAATAAAAAAATCTTACATATTGTGCCTTTAAGTTCACATTCCTGGAAAATGTCATGTGAATGGTTTTGCTGCTACTGCTAAAAGAGACATACCTGTCTTGGTAATCCATCGGGGCCAAAGCAATCTATATGTGGGGAATGGAAAAGATACAATTTTGGCTTCAAGACACATTATTTATAACAAATATAGAGTAAATGAAGTAATATCGCTTACCACAAGTAGGTGTGCACTGATCTGTTGTTGAACTAACTAGATATGTGTTGTCAGGACAGTAACAACCTTCCATGAATATTTGATGGTCAGTTTGGCTTTGGTCTTCCACAAACATCTCATTGTATCTGGTTGTAAGTCAAGCACATGTGGCATTAAAGTTATTAATGCAGTGAAATTTGGACAATACAGTATTACATTTACACTTATGGAAATTAATGATATAGAGAGTGGTTACCTTGTACTGCAGGTTCTTTCAACTTTAGGCCCACATGCCTTGAAGACTTTGTGATCAGCACATTTGTATGCTATTAACCAAAGACAATCAAGCGATTTAGGATACAGTCAGAAAAAGATGCATCACTGTGTTACTGTAGGTTCATTCGGTTTTCTTACCGCATAGCCCGTTGAGGTCAGCTGAGTCTCTCCAGTCCACACATATAGACTGCTGGCCGCATAGCTGTGCATAGGCCTCTACACTGGCACAGGCCATGGAGTCATTTTTCTTGTAGCACACATCATATTTACATGCCTCATAGTAGCTTTCATAGGGAACGATGTTATGACAGCTCTTGAACAAACTGAACAAAATGCAAAAGTTTAGGGAGAAAACATAAACTGAAGCATATCATGGTTCAACAAAAAAGATAATCGTCATAAAAACTATCTTTGAAATCTCTTTTTAATTTGTTATAGGTAAAGTGTGTAATTTTTGTGCAACTTGATGTATCAAATGGAATTGCAGTCCGAGTGGACTGGACAGAGTAACACTGGCTCAACCAATGGTGTTTTGGGTGCAACTACCTGAATGCAGAACAGTGGCAGATAGAGGGGGTGTTTAAATATTTTTGCAATTCTATTTGGTGCTGTTAGTGGAGGAGAAATTCCAGATTTCACCTTGAAGGGTTTCTGAAAATTTACTAAGTGATTGTTGTGGGCTTAGCCTTACTCGCTCTTGATGACCTCACAGATTTGTGCTGTGCAGGTAGGAAGAGGTTCGCTTGGATGTGGTGGAGGGGTTTCACATTCTGGGGAGTCCGCCCACAATGCTGCCATTTGCTCACATGACTGGTCAGTTGTTCCATCGGGACGTCTGCAGTCATTTGTGGCATCATTGTCACAAACACCTAAAAATATTGACAGAATTTCAAAATTTTAATTGACAAAGTCTAGACATGCCAATAAAATTGTAAATCTGTGAAAGTTGTTGCATTGTCTCACAGAAGAAATTCTCTTTATCATTGTTATAGTCATTGCAGCAAGGGCACCACACTGTACTCACCGCACTGTCCCTCTGTATTACCATGGAAGTAGGTGAACGGGAGATTGATCTCAAAGCCTTGATGACTGACTAAAATCTCAGCTTTGATTTCCTTAATGTTCAAAATCACTGTCATGCCCGAGGTAGTAATGCTGAAATCTTCATTCAAGAAAGTTGGGACCTTAACAGCATCATTGACGTAAACCTGTAGGCAACAAGGGGTTTTGAGTTGTAATGAACCTTAGATTACTTTTTTGCAGTGTTTTAGTGTATATATCTAATGCTAAGCTAGCAGTGTTAAGTGATATTAGCATTGAAAATTTATTAAGTTGTCATGTTCTGGATTTTACAGTGTGTCAAGAATATGTTAATGTTTGTGATCAAATTTGTCTGAAATAGTCCTGACTTACCTGTATCTCTTTACTGTTACTTGCTAGCTTGATTTCATAGGATTTGTACTTCACAGTCACATACTCTGGACAAGCAAAATTATTTGTAACATCGCAATAATAGTTTTTAACATGGACACTGATATTGTATCTTGGAATGATTTCTCGGACCAACACATAGTCACAATTTCCTTGGAAAACATAATATTTTCCATCAAACGTATTGTAATGAGGGTCACCCCAGCCACTGCATCGACCTGTTTTTCAGAAAACAAGTTAAACCAAGGTAAATTAGAATACAAGGACAGTGTTACTTATCAATTTCCTGCCGCATGGTTTAAAGTTTAAACTCACATAGACACTCGTACTTAGTGCAGCAGCCATTGTTATAATAAACCTTCTCAGGTTTAAGTCCGTTGACACATGTAGGTATGACAGAATCAGCTGGATCACACTGTACAGGGCTTGTAGTAACATTCCCATTTATGCAGTTTTTAGTGGTACATCCCTCATTCCATGTCTCTCCATTCTGTTAAAGATTCAAATAATATTGCAGTTCAATTGTCACTTAGAATAACATTATTTAGGAAAATATAAATTGTACATGACAAGTGCCTTTTTTAACCTTTCTGTTGACATCGGTACAGTCATTTGGAACAGTTGAAATTGGAACTGTGGTAGTCTGAGGACATGGTTTCTGTGTAATTTCACTAACACAATTGGAGTTGCAGTAAGCGAAGTAGCACCAGCCTGCTTTATCAGTTTTGTTGTAAATGATTGACTCTATAGTTAGAATAATAGAATGTGCATAATTAATGTCAATTGTTCATGCTTTTATCAAATTCTCAAATCAAAAAACTATAGGAGAAAGTTAAAAATTGCATGTACTACTTACCAGGTGGGAAAGTTTGATTTGCAAATGTACAGTGACAGATCGTTGTGATGACAATTTGAGGTGATGCAGCATGTGTTGTTTCAGGTGGTGATTCTGTATATACAGGGAACTTAGTTGATGGCATTTCTGTCACTGTAGGTGTTACTGTCAAAACTGTTGATGTAACAATGGTTGGAGTAATTGTTGATGGTGTCAAAGAAGTTTCTGTTCCTGTCGGAGGTAGTATTTCTGTAGATGATGGTGCAGCAGTAAGAGCAGTAGTAGAAACTTCTGGTGATGTTGGTGTCTGTGTACCAGCAGTTGTAGTAGCTGTGGATGGTGTTTCTGTTCCTGTGGGAGGAGGGGTTTCTGTGGATGAAGTAGGAGCAGTAACAGCAGTAGTAGAAACTCCTGGTGATGTAGGTGTCGTTGGACCAGCAGTTGTTGTTGCTGTTGATGGCGTTTCTGTTCGTGTTGGAGGTGGTGTTTCTGTGATTAGTGTTTCAGCAGTAACAGCAGTAGTAGAAATTTCTGGTGATGTTAGTGTTGCTGTGCCAGCAGTTGTAGTAACTGTGGATGGTGTTTCAGTTCCTGTGGTAGGTGGAGTTTCTGTAGATGGAGTAGGAGTAGTAACAGCAGTAGTAGAAACTCCTGGAGATGTAGGTGTCGTTGGACCCGCAGTTGTTGTTGCTGTCGATGGCGTTTCTGTTCGTGTTGGAGGGGGTGTTTCTGTAGATGGAATAGGAGCAGTAACAGCAGGAGTAGAAACTCCTGGTGATGTAGGTGTCGTTGGACCCGCAGTTGTTGTTGCTGTCGATGGCGTTTCTGTTCGTGTTGGAGGGGGTGTTTCTGTAGATGGAATAGGAGCAGTAACAGCAGGAGTAGAAACTCCTGGTGATGTAGGTGTCGTTGGACCCGCAGTTGTTGTTGCTGTCGATGGCGTTTCTGTTCGTGTTGGAGGGGGTGTTTCTGTAGATGGAATAGGAGCAGTAACAGCAGGAGTAGAAACTCCTGGTGATGTAGGTGTCGTTGGACCCGCAGTTGTTGTTGCTGTCGATGGCGTTTCTGTTCGTGTTGGAGGGGGTGTTTCTGTAGATGGAATAGGAGCAGTAACAGCAGGAGTAGAAACTCCTGGTGATGTAGGTGTCGTTGGACCCGCAGTTGTTGTTGCTGTCGATGGCGTTTCTGTTCGTGTTGGAGGGGGTGTTTCTGTAGATGGAATAGGAGCAGTAACAGCAGGAGTAGAAACTCCTGGTGATGTAGGTGTCGTTGGACCCGCAGTTGTTGTTGCTGTCGATGGCGTTTCTGTTCGTGTTGGAGGGGGTGTTTCTGTAGATGGAATAGGAGCAGTAACAGCAGGAGTAGAAACTCCTGGTGATGTAGGTGTCGTTGGACCCGCAGTTGTTGTTGCTGTCGATGGCGTTTCTGTTCGTGTTGGAGGGGGTGTTTCTGTAGATGGAATAGGAGCAGTAACAGCAGGAGTAGAAACTCCTGGTGATGTAGGTGTCGTTGGACCCGCAGTTGTTGTTGCTGTCGATGGCGTTTCTGTTCGTGTTGGAGGGGGTGTTTCTGTAGATGGAATAGGAGCAGTAACAGCAGGAGTAGAAACTCCTGGTGATGTAGGTGTCGTTGGACCCGCAGTTGTTGTTGCTGTCGATGGCGTTTCTGTTCGTGTTGGAGGGGGTGTTTCTGTAGATGGAATAGGAGCAGTAACAGCAGGAGTAGAAACTCCTGGTGATGTAGGTGTCGTTGGACCCGCAGTTGTTGTTGCTGTCGATGGCGTTTCTGTTCGTGTTGGAGGGGGTGTTTCTGTAGATGGAATAGGAGCAGTAACAGCAGGAGTAGAAACTCCTGGTGATGTAGGTGTCGTTGGACCCGCAGTTGTTGTTGCTGTCGATGGCGTTTCTGTTCGTGTTGGAGGGGGTGTTTCTGTAGATGGAATAGGAGCAGTAACAGCAGGAGTAGAAACTCCTGGTGATGTAGGTGTCGTTGGACCCGCAGTTGTTGTTGCTGTCGATGGCGTTTCTGTTCGTGTTGGAGGGGGTGTTTCTGTAGATGGAATAGGAGCAGTAACAGCAGGAGTAGAAACTCCTGGTGATGTAGGTGTCGTTGGACCCGCAGTTGTTGTTGCTGTCGATGGCGTTTCTGTTCGTGTTGGAGGGGGTGTTTCTGTAGATGGAATAGGAGCAGTAACAGCAGGAGTAGAAACTCCTGGTGATGTAGGTGTCGTTGGACCCGCAGTTGTTGTTGCTGTCGATGGCGTTTCTGTTCGTGTTGGAGGGGGTGTTTCTGTAGATGGAATAGGAGCAGTAACAGCAGGAGTAGAAACTCCTGGTGATGTAGGTGTCGTTGGACCCGCAGTTGTTGTTGCTGTCGATGGCGTTTCTGTTCGTGTTGGAGGGGGTGTTTCTGTAGATGGAATAGGAGCAGTAACAGCAGGAGTAGAAACTCCTGGTGATGTAGGTGTCGTTGGACCCGCAGTTGTTGTTGCTGTCGATGGCGTTTCTGTTCGTGTTGGAGGGGGTGTTTCTGTAGATGGAATAGGAGCAGTAACAGCAGGAGTAGAAACTCCTGGTGATGTAGGTGTCGTTGGACCCGCAGTTGTTGTTGCTGTCGATGGCGTTTCTGTTCGTGTTGGAGGGGGTGTTTCTGTAGATGGAATAGGAGCAGTAACAGCAGGAGTAGAAACTCCTGGTGATGTAGGTGTCGTTGGACCCGCAGTTGTTGTTGCTGTCGATGGCGTTTCTGTTCGTGTTGGAGGGGGTGTTTCTGTAGATGGAATAGGAGCAGTAACAGCAGGAGTAGAAACTCCTGGTGATGTAGGTGTCGTTGGACCCGCAGTTGTTGTTGCTGTCGATGGCGTTTCTGTTCGTGTTGGAGGGGGTGTTTCTGTAGATGGAATAGGAGCAGTAACAGCAGGAGTAGAAACTCCTGGTGATGTAGGTGTCGTTGGACCCGCAGTTGTTGTTGCTGTCGATGGCGTTTCTGTTCGTGTTGGAGGGGGTGTTTCTGTAGATGGAATAGGAGCAGTAACAGCAGGAGTAGAAACTCCTGGTGATGTAGGTGTCGTTGGACCCGCAGTTGTTGTTGCTGTCGATGGCGTTTCTGTTCGTGTTGGAGGGGGTGTTTCTGTAGATGGAATAGGAGCAGTAACAGCAGGAGTAGAAACTCCTGGTGATGTAGGTGTCGTTGGACCCGCAGTTGTTGTTGCTGTCGATGGCGTTTCTGTTCGTGTTGGAGGGGGTGTTTCTGTAGATGGAATAGGAGCAGTAACAGCAGGAGTAGAAACTCCTGGTGATGTAGGTGTCGTTGGACCCGCAGTTGTTGTTGCTGTCGATGGCGTTTCTGTTCGTGTTGGAGGGGGTGTTTCTGTAGATGGAATAGGAGCAGTAACAGCAGGAGTAGAAACTCCTGGTGATGTAGGTGTCGTTGGACCCGCAGTTGTTGTTGCTGTCGATGGCGTTTCTGTTCGTGTTGGAGGGGGTGTTTCTGTAGATGGAATAGGAGCAGTAACAGCAGGAGTAGAAACTCCTGGTGATGTAGGTGTCGTTGGACCCGCAGTTGTTGTTGCTGTCGATGGCGTTTCTGTTCGTGTTGGAGGGGGTGTTTCTGTAGATGGAATAGGAGCAGTAACAGCAGGAGTAGAAACTCCTGGTGATGTAGGTGTCGTTGGACCCGCAGTTGTTGTTGCTGTCGATGGCGTTTCTGTTCGTGTTGGAGGGGGTGTTTCTGTAGATGGAATAGGAGCAGTAACAGCAGGAGTAGAAACTCCTGGTGATGTAGGTGTCGTTGGACCCGCAGTTGTTGTTGCTGTCGATGGCGTTTCTGTTCGTGTTGGAGGGGGTGTTTCTGTAGATGGAATAGGAGCAGTAACAGCAGGAGTAGAAACTCCTGGTGATGTAGGTGTCGTTGGACCCGCAGTTGTTGTTGCTGTCGATGGCGTTTCTGTTCGTGTTGGAGGGGGTGTTTCTGTAGATGGAATAGGAGCAGTAACAGCAGGAGTAGAAACTCCTGGTGATGTAGGTGTCGTTGGACCCGCAGTTGTTGTTGCTGTCGATGGCGTTTCTGTTCGTGTTGGAGGGGGTGTTTCTGTAGATGGAATAGGAGCAGTAACAGCAGGAGTAGAAACTCCTGGTGATGTAGGTGTCGTTGGACCCGCAGTTGTTGTTGCTGTCGATGGCGTTTCTGTTCGTGTTGGAGGGGGTGTTTCTGTAGATGGAATAGGAGCAGTAACAGCAGGAGTAGAAACTCCTGGTGATGTAGGTGTCGTTGGACCCGCAGTTGTTGTTGCTGTCGATGGCGTTTCTGTTCGTGTTGGAGGGGGTGTTTCTGTAGATGGAATAGGAGCAGTAACAGCAGGAGTAGAAACTCCTGGTGATGTAGGTGTCGTTGGACCCGCAGTTGTTGTTGCTGTCGATGGCGTTTCTGTTCGTGTTGGAGGGGGTGTTTCTGTAGATGGAATAGGAGCAGTAACAGCAGGAGTAGAAACTCCTGGTGATGTAGGTGTCGTTGGACCCGCAGTTGTTGTTGCTGTCGATGGCGTTTCTGTTCGTGTTGGAGGGGGTGTTTCTGTAGATGGAATAGGAGCAGTAACAGCAGGAGTAGAAACTCCTGGTGATGTAGGTGTCGTTGGACCCGCAGTTGTTGTTGCTGTCGATGGCGTTTCTGTTCGTGTTGGAGGTGGTGTTTCTGTGATTGGTGTTTCTGTAGTAACAGCAGTAGTAGAAATTTCTGGTGATGTTGGTGTTGGTGTACCAGGAGCTGTAGTAGATATGGGTGGTGTTTCAGTTCCTGTGGGAGGTGGTGTTTCTGTAGATGGAGTAGGAGCAGTAACAGCAGTAGTAGAAATTTCTGCTGATGTTGGTGTACCAACAGTTGTAGTTGCTGTTGATGGCGTTTCTGTTCGTGCTGGAGGTGGTGTTTCTGTGATTGGTGTTTCTGTAGTAACAGCAGTAGTAGAAATTTCTGCTGATGTTGGTGTACCAACAGTTGTAGTTGCTGTTGATGGCGTTTCTGTTCGTGCTGGAGGTGGTGTTTCTGTGATTGGTGTTTCTGTAGTAACAGCAGTAGTAGAAATTTCTGCTGATGTTGGTGTACCAACAGTTGTAGTTGCTGTTGATGGCGTTTCTGTTCGTGTTGGAGGTGGTGTTTCTGTAGATGGAGTAGGAGCAGTAACAGCAGTAGTAGAAATTTCTGCTGATGTTGGTGTACCAACAGTTGTAGTTGCCGTTGATGGCGTTTCTGTTCGTGTTGGAGGTGGTGTTTCTGTGATTGGTGTTTCAGCAGTTACAGCAGTGGTAGAAATTTCTGGTGATGTTGGTGTTGCTGTACCAGCAGTTGTAGTAGCTGTGGATGGTGTTTCTGTTCCTGTGGTAGGTGGTGTTTCTGTAGATGGAGTAGGAGCAGTAACAGCAGTAGTAGAAACTCCTTGTGATGTAGGTGTTGTTGGACCAGCAGTTGTTGTTGATGGCGTTTCTCTTCCTGTGGTAGGTGGTGTTTCTCTAGATGGAGTAGGAGCAGTAAAAGCAGTAGTAGAAATTTCTGGTGATGTTGGTGTTGGTGTACCAGCAGTTGTAGTAGCTGTGAATGGTGTTTCAGTTCCTGTGGGAGGTGGTGTTTCTGTAGATGGAGTAGGAGCAGTAACAGCAGTAGTAGAAACTCCTGGTGATGTTGGTGTTTCTGTACCAGCAGTTGTAGTAGCTGTGGATGGTGTTTCTGTTCCTGTGGTAGGTGGTGTTTCTGTAGATGGAGTAGGAGCAGTAACAGCAGTAGTAGAAACTCCTGGTGATGTTGGTGTTTCTGTACCAGCAGTTGTAGTAGCTGTGGATGGTGTTTCTGTTCCTGTGGTAGGTGGTGTTTCTGTAGATGGAGTAGGAGCAGTAACAGCAGTAGTAGAAACTCCTGGTGATGTTGGTGTTTCTGTACCAGCAGTTGTAGTAGCTGTGGATGGTGTTTCTGTTCCTGTGGTAGGTGGTGTTTCTGTAGATGGAGTAGGAGCAGTAACAGCAGTAGTAGAAACTCCTGGTGATGTTGGTGTTTCTGTACCAGCAGTTGTAGTAGCTGTGGATGGTGTTTCTGTTCCTGTGGTAGGTGGTGTTTCTGTAGATGGAGTAGGAGCAGTAACAGCAGTAGTAGAAACTCCTGGTGATGTTGGTGTTTCTGTACCAGCAGTTGTAGTAGCTGTGGATGGTGTTTCTGTTCCTGTGGTAGGTGGTGTTTCTGTAGATGGAGTAGGAGCAGTAACAGCAGTAGTAGAAACTCCTGGTGATGTTGGTGTTTCTGTACCAGCAGTTGTAGTAGCTGTGGATGGTGTTTCTGTTCCTGTGGTAGGTGGTGTTTCTGTAGATGGAGTAGGAACAGTAACAGCAGTAGTAGAAACTCCTTGTGATGTAGGTGTTGTTGGACCAGCAGTTGTTGTTGATGGCGTTTCTCTTCCTGTGGTAGGTGGTGTTTCTGTAGATGGAGTAGGAGCAGTAACAGCAGTAGTAGAAATTTCTGGTGATGTTGGTGTTGGTGTACCAGCAGTTGTAGGTGCTGGTGATGGTGGTTCAGTTCCTGTGGGAGGTGGTGTTTCTGTAGATGGAGTAGGAGCAGTAACAGCAGTAGTAGAAATTTGGGGTAATGTTGGAATTGGTGTACCAGCAGTTGTAGTAGCTGTTAATGGTGTTTCGGTTCCTGTGGGAGGTGGTGTTTCAGTAGATGTAGTAGGAGCAGTAACAGCAGTAGTAGAAACTCCTTGTGATGTAGGTGTCGGTGGACCAGCAGTTGTAGTGGCCGTTGATGGCGTTTCTCTTCGTGTTGTAGGTGGTGTTTCTGTGACTGGTGTTTCAGCCGTAACAGTAGTAGTCGAAATTTCTGGTGATGTTGGTGTTGGTGTACCAGCAGTTGTAGTAGCTGTGGATGGTGTTTCGGTTCCTGTGGGAGGTGGTGTTTCTGTAGATGGAGTAGGAGCAGTAACAGCAGTAGTAGAAACTCCTTGTGATGTAGGTGTCGGTGGACCAGCAGTTGTTGTTGCCGTTGATGGTGTTTCTGTTTGTGTCGGAGGTAGTGTTTCTGCAGTTACAGCAGTAGTAGTAATTTCTGGTGATGTTGGTGTACCAGCAGTTGTAGTAGCTGTGGAAGGTGTTTCGGTTCCTGTGGGAGGTGGTGTTTCTGTAGATCGTCTTTCAGCAGTAGTAGAAATTTCTGGTGATGTTGGTGTTGGTGTACCTGCAGTTGTAGTAGCTGTGGATGGTATTTCGGTGTTTCTGTTCCTGTGGGAGGTGGTGTTTCTGTAGATCGTCTTTCAGCAGTAGTAGAAATTTCTGGTGATGTTGGTGTTGGTGTACCTGCAGTTGTAGTAGCTGTGGATGGTATTTCGGTGTTTCTGTTCCTGTGGGAGGTGGTGTTTCTGTAGATCGTCTTTCAGCAGTAGTAGAAATTTCTGGTGATGTTGGTGTTGGTGTACCTGCAGTTGTAGTAGCTGTGGATGGTATTTCGGTGTTTCTGTTCCTGTGGGAGGTGGTGTTTCTGTAGATCGTCTTTCAGCAGTAGTAGAAATTTCTGGTGATGTTGGTGTTGGTGTACCTGCAGTTGTAGTAGCTGTGGATGGTATTTCGGTGTTTCTGTTCCTGTGGGAGGTGGTGTTTCTGTAGATCGTCTTTCAGCAGTAGTAGAAATTTCTGGTGATGTTGGTGTTGGTGTACCTGCAGTTGTAGTAGCTGTGGATGGTATTTCGGTGTTTCTGTTCCTGTGGGAGGTGGTGTTTCTGTAGATCGTCTTTCAGCAGTAGTAGAAATTTCTGGTGATGTTGGTGTTGGTGTACCTGCAGTTGTAGTAGCTGTGGATGGTATTTCGGTGTTTCTGTTCCTGTGGGAGGTGGTGTTTCTGTAGATCGTCTTTCAGCAGTAGTAGAAATTTCTGGTGATGTTGGTGTTGGTGTACCTGCAGTTGTAGTAGCTGTGGATGGTATTTCGGTGTTTCTGTTCCTGTGGGAGGTGGTGTTTCTGTAGATGGAGTAGGAGCAGTAACAGCAGTAGTAGAAATTTGGGGTAATGTTGGAATTGGTGTACCAGCAGTTGTAGTAGCTGTTAATGGTGTTTCTGTTCCTGTGGGAGGTGGTGTTTCTGTATATGGAGTTGGAGCAGTAACAGCAGTAGTAGAAACTCCTGGTGATGTAGGTGTCGGTGGACCAGCAGTTGTCGTTGCTGTTGATGGCGTTTCTGTTTGTGTTGGAGGTGGTGTTTCTGTGATTGGTGTTTCAGCAGTAGTAGAAATTTCTGGTGATGTTGGTGTTGGTGTACCAGCAGTTGTAGTAAATGTGGATGGTGTTTCTGTTCCTGTGGGAGGTTGTGTTTCTGTAGATGGTGTTGGAGCAGTAACAGCAGTAGTAGAAACTCCTGGTGATGTTTGACCAGCAGGTATAAGTGTTGATGGCATTTCTGGCGTTGTTAGCGTTACTGTCATAGGTGTCGAGGTGGAAGTCTTTGTAACTGTTATTATAATTGTTGTTTTAGTAGTTTGTGGTGGAGTTGTGAAAGTGAATGGCGTGGTTGTTGTCATGCATTTGTTAATATTTCTTATTATCATGCCGTTGAAACCACACACAGCCGTAAAACATGTGCCATTCCCATCTGTGGTATCGTACACCACTTGTCCAGTAGTGTATATCTTCCCATCATAGGTACACAGAGAAAGACATTCTGCCTCTGTAACACATTTCCTTGTGTCCTCCCTCAGAAATGGCCTTTCTAAAGGGCACTGAGGAAAACACCCTAGGGTAATAATAAATGGCAAGAATGAATAAACAAGAAAGAAATTTCAATTGATTCAGTGTTTCTTGAATCTAAAGAAAAATTATTAACATATTAATAATTAACATCATAATATTCTCTGTGGTTTGGACTACATTTACCCAATAAATGATTTAAAGATTATTTCATACCCTCTAGAAGAGGAATTTGATTAGAACAAGTTCCTGATGGGTTTCTGCAAGTTTTCATGCAGGTGGATCCACAGGTTTTATAGTGCCATTCACATTCATCTGGAGGGTTGTTGTAGTAGTCACAGAATAAAGCTGCAAGAACAATCACTTCAGTCAGCAGTATGACAATGTTTATATGTGGTCAAATAATAGAGGATAATGACAAAATACACTTTTTTCTGCTTAAATCTGTAGTCTTCTGAGTTGCACATTTTATGTAGATCTGGATATGGAGAATTCTGACTGCATTGAACACAATTTATAACAGTACTTGGACTTACGACATATGCTTGGGCTTCGCCATGCCACACAAGCTCCTTTTTTACGGCATTCGGCAGCGTAAGCTGCCACTGCCGTACAGAAACAATCACAGTCACCCCCACTGTCACATGCACAGGTGTCCCTTACACAGGCATCATAGTATGGGCCAGAATCCACCTAGAGACAAGAAATAATTTAAATATACCTTTCAGAAGACCACAAACTTTCTGAATGCACAAGGATTATAATTTTTACTCACACGTGAATGGCAGTCTGTAAAGACAGGGCTTGTGATGATGCTGCATTGTTTGATAGCCCAGGCACTCCGATGTGGATTTTTTTCACATGGATTCATCAAGTTGCTCACTTCTGGACAGCTGGGATTCACCTTCCAGCTGTTTCCAAATGCCACTGCATCAGTGACCTCTTCTCCATCATGCTTCACAAAGTCATTGTTCGCATTACCGTCAAAGTTTCCACACAGTCCACACACCTTGCCCTGCCATAGAGATCATGTGGGAGTTAAGGTAAGTGGATGAACACAAAGGTGTAGAGAATGGTTTTGTGATTTGTGCATGTAGGGGTAATGCTTACCTTAAATTTGGGATGGAGTTGGAGCATCAGACTCGTCTTATTGTCCCAGATTAAGTTCAAAAGACCTTTGACCTCTATGACATTGTATATTCCAGCAGTATGGATTTGATATAGGTAATCAGTGCCATTGCTTTCAACAACTTTGATCCCATTCTCCTCTGATAAAATCATCTTGTATCTCTGCAGGATTTGAATAGTCAGTGACATACAATTATCCTTATCCCCAAACAATGTCTGCATAAATATATTATTATATTCCAGATTTTAACATACTTTTAAACTATGCTCAAGATGACTCCGAGTTATGAAATAAACTCACCCCAAAGAAAAGATTGATGGATTTGGAGCAAATGGTGCCGCTGGTGCCACAGGGGATGTTCTCTGTGACCAGGCGTAGAAAATATGAACCCTGTTCATTATTGCAGTTATCCTAAAGGGGTTGCACATGAATTGTGTGTCAGACCAGAATATTTATTTATTTTTTACTAGGTAAGAAGCCAAATTTGAAGAAAAACATACATGGGCTAAGATGTGTTCACAGTCTCCAAGGAAAGTATATTTCTTGCCATCAAAAGTCATGAAATGACCTTCACCATAGATGGTACAGGTGCCATAACACTCATTATCTGTACAAGTCCACATCCCATTTGTGCATGTGCTGAAATATAGACAACAATTCAGAGATTAACCCTTTAAGGTTATATGTTTCTTACCCCTCATTTTCAGTGAGACTGTAAAGTAGGAATCTTGTAATGTTTTTCAAATTACTTATTTTTTGGGGGATGGAGAAAAAACGTAGTGCATAGGTTGTGATGGTATAGCTGTAATTTCTTTCTTACTACTATCAATGCTTCTTGCTGCTATCAATGCTAGCTCACCAGGTGTTACAGTCCTCTTGAACTTGCTCTCCAGGTGAATAGCTGAGTCCGTTGTGGACACAGGGGCAGTTTGTCCTCTCCACACACCCACCTTTTCCATCAGCCAGAAGGTCATCTGGACACATACACCCCGATACACACCCTGTACTCACCTATAGATAAAACAAACCAAGAAGGACCAGCATTGGTAACCCTTGCTATGATTTTACAAAATCCTTTTGTGGCAAAAAATACAATAACTGCTGGAAAACTGCTAAGTAATGTTTTTGTCTTTTCCCCATCCAAACTCACGCAGTTGTTTAGGTCTTGGTTCTGACAGGTCCTCTGACATTCTGTCCCTTTTGTTCCAGGTTCATAATTTGAGCATTTGAAGAAGACCATTGGAGCCACACAGTCTAAAAACAGTCACATGTATGAGAAGTGGGAAACTTCCACACTGATGACTCAAGTTTGGAATTTGACAAGCGCAATTTCAGAATTAAGTTCCAACTTACCTTCTTGACTGGAGCAGTGCAATTTTCCAAGGGTACAGGTGCTATAATATGACAAAACAGTGCAAATCAGGTGTTACTTATGGTTGTCAAGACAAGAGTTATCATTTAGGATAACTCATTGTTCTAACAACAATGCATTGGCTATGGAATGAGGAACTCATACCATGCAACACCGTCTATGTTGGATGTTCCCGATGGTTCTATGACCTGGTTGCCTTTGTAACAAGGACACTGGTGGGCAGGCACACAACTGCCGTCTTCATTAAGATAGGTTCCCTCAGAACAGACGCAGTCGTCTACAGGTGTGAAGGACCCTGGGCAGGTGTTACTTGGTTCACTGAGAGAGCGGCAGGTACTGCCACAGCTGGACACACCATAGGAGTACTTCATGTTTTCTAAACACTCAGATGCTGTGCATAGATAAACACATTTTTCTTATGACTCATTGTTTCATTTTATTCCAAATCTGCAGAATGTAATTCAAATGCATTAATTCTATTGAACTCTACAAGCAAGTATTCTCACCACAGGGGTCAGAATCCATCCAGCCCTGGAGAATGACTCCTCTGGCAGCACAGGCGTGGGCATAGTTGGACACGGCCGCACACATACACTTCCTAATATCTGCACATTTGCAGGTGTCATAGACACACCACTGCAGAGGATGAAACCCAGATGCAATTATATGTAATTCATACATATATACAGTTAATTTTAAAAGAGAAGAGTGTAAAAATACTCACTTGGTAGAAAATCTCAGGACATATTTCTGAATGACATGCGGAAAAGACTCCGCTGTTGTTTGTAAGACGGGAACACCAGTCTTTAGCAAGTTTCTCTGAATGGAAAGAATAAAGAGAGTTCTGTAATGTTTGCAAGTTAAATAATTGCATATATTAATTACTTATCTATTTATTTATGTATTTATTTAAATGTTTGTAGTACTGTGTACCTGTGTCCATACTCAAGCTACAGGGGTTGTCAAATGTGTTTTCAAGATCTGGACAACTGTATGGGTTTTTCTTCCAGAAGTTGACAAATGTTATTGGTGTGCCCTCTATGATACCAGACTCTGTTTTGAAGTCATCTGATTGTACATCATTATAGTTTCCACATAGACCTGAAAGAAGAAAGGTGTAGAATTAAAAATTCAATGCCTGTAATTCATTCACTATGCACTGATGCATTTTTGAAAGGTATTTTTTTCATTATAAAGGAGTCATATATGTACATTTTAAATCATTATATTGTAGCAATTTTATAAATCTTACATTTTTGCTCTTTCCTTCTTCACTAGCAATATATATATATATATATATATATATATATATATATATATCCTGTAACAGTCAGCAAACCCTGGACTGTTGAGATGCTGCTGGCAAACACTTATGTGCTAAAAAAGGAAAAACATTTTCAATTGGCAATAAATAAAACAGTCAATTTAATTCAGTGAAATTGGCGATTTTTTTTATTGTAAAAAATATTGCCCCAAACACTTTGTCACATACCTGGTCGCACTGATTCCCAGGAGGAAGTGTAACGTCCTCGCAGGATTCAGTTGGTGTGGAAACCTTCCAGGTGGCTGGGCCTGAGAAGGATTTATTTAGTTTGTCAAACATCATACTGAAATTATGTATGCATTTTGTCTGGCATTCAAAAGAAGATCTAAAGCAAACGTTCATGACGTCATTTGATTGAAACGTCAGGTTTACCGCTTTCAGGGATATCGTCATTCTTGTTGCCGTTGTAGTTTCCACAGAGTCCACAGGTCTGACCTTGGTACTTCTCTGCAAGTTCAATCTAGGAAACATCATATAACAAGATACTGTCAGCAATACAAATAAAATTGATTTTCTCAAAGCGAATCTATCCTAATGTTTATTTATGGCTAAAATATATGACAGTGCAAACACACTTAATAAAATCAACACTGAGCTGTCAGAAACGTCTGCAAAACCTGTTGGTTCACTATGGCTTATTTAGACAATTCATATTTGCTTTGTGATTTGTAGAACTGATGTCCTGTTTGATGTTTAATTTTCCTAGTCTTACTTGTGTGCAAACAAATATGATAGCTTAAAGGGTGTGTGTGATTTCGTTATAGGGTTATGGATCAATCATGACACATACTAAACAAGAAACTGCACTGGAATTCTCCTGCACTTTATCAGGTTTGCTTTGTTTTGTTTTTACTGCTATCAACAGATTTAATCAAATCAGTTTTACAGTTTTCTTTTGAACCCTTATCTGGCTTGTTGTATCACAGATTCATCACAAGTATTACAATAACCACATTTAAACATCAAGATTTGATTCAATCATACCAATATAGAGTTGTCTTCTTCCCAGAAGACAGTCATTCCATATCTGGAGACTTTAATACTTGTTGGGGTTCCTTCAATTTTAATTCCATTCTGATTGATTGGAATCGACACCCTTTAAGAGGAAGTGTTACACATTTCAACCAAACATGTTTGCGTATTTTAAGATATAGTCATATAATTGAGTAACTGTCATCATTAAGATTTTAAGTTACATTTTTATAAATGTAGAATAATTTTCACCATATTTAATTTTAGAAGCACTAATATTCTGTTGTTTCTCAATTTAATATAAGTTTAAAAAAGGTTGATGCTAGAATATATCAGGTACAAATGAGATAAAAATCAACTCACGCTTGATCATCCATGGTGATGTCGCCGTTAGTGATTTTGATGATTGTTCCCTCCAGCTTTATTGTGACTGTGCTAAAAGTGATTGAGCCATTCACAGTCTCTCTTTGCATTTGGATGTTAAAATCAGAAACCGTAATGTCACACATCACTGTCAGAACATAGTTGCATGTGTCTGGCACTTGAAAGAATTGACCATCAAAGGTCTTGAAGTGGAAATTTCCCCATGTGCTGCAGATCGTGGACTGATGATCAGGATTTGGTTGAACTAAACCAAGAGAGACAGTTTTTAAATATCTAATCTGTGATAAGTACTTTCAGTGAGCAAAGATACTCAATTTAGTTCCCTGAATGCTGAAGCTAACTGATGCTAAACATGCAGTTTAAATACTTGTTTAATACCTTTTGTTACCATCACAGTCGTCATTGGGAACACTAAATATAACAGACAAAAAGAAAAACTGTTTTAATTTTTTATGAAACACATTTGTTTGCAAAAGAAAAGAAAACTTTCCTTCTAAAAATGTTATAAGACGGATATAGATTCACAGTGTTACACAAGTCATATTTTCCCACTCAAAAATAATACACCTCAAAATGTCTTTGCTGTAATATTTATGAATATTTCTGAACATATTGTTACTGAACTTTGAACGTCCTAAATAGTGTTTTACAATTATAATGCGCAGACCACTTAAGCTTTTACTTTTACTTTATTCATAATTAGAAACTTGACTGAAAGAATGTTACATATTTTAAAGATTGAAATGATCAGTTCGTTCAGTTTTCTATTCCATAATTAGTGTTTCAATTGTCATTGACCTTACAACCACAGTTAAAATCTTGTAAGTTGGTTCATATAATTGTTTTATCATATTAAAGTTTATGATATTAAATTGGACATTTTTGTCATCTATGTTAAATTTTAATCAACAATTAGAATTTTTCAGCAAAATTTGTAAAAACAAAAAAAAAGTTACAAAATTTCAGGCAGAGTGAACTTTACTGTTATCAGTCTGTCTATATTTTTTTATTGATGAGAAATTTAAACTGAAATACTTTGATTAAATATATTTGAATTTACTTATACAAAAGGTTTTAGGTTTACTTCTTCTGATTGATCTGATGGTTCTTGGTCAGTACATCTCATATAATACATAACTACATAAAAAAATATTCACCTGTTGTTGTTGTTGGCGGCCAGGTTGTAAAGTCCATAGGATCCTTCATAACATCCCCATAATCCCCCAAGAAGCCTTTAACATAGAAAGAGGTTTTTAAATGATATTTTCAGTGTCATTTCAAGGATTTCAAAATTTTTTGCTTCTTTTTTTCAGTTTTATTCTGCTTACCTGCTTGTACCGACTGCAGCCCCATCAGCAGGATGACCCATCTCAGCATGCACATCTGGGACATCCTCACAGTCCCCATGGAGACAACATCCATCCTCAAGAGCTAATGCGAGTTATCTGTCAGCACTTGTCCTTTTATAATTGCTATTAGTTTGTTTGGAGGAATGTAGTTTGTGATCAGAGGGTGGACCCGTTGCTTGAATTTGGCCTTGGGCTTGGTAGATACTTGATGCAAACAAATATTTAATGTCTTCGTTGGTGATATTAAATAAACTGTATTTAAATGATGAGAAAGACGTTCGGCCACACAATGATTCATTATTCGCTTGTTTGAATTACAAGGATGTACAAGGATGTGGCTCTTGACTCGTCCCCAATGTGAAATATATTTGATTTAGCAATGTAATTTTTGTAATTGTCAAATTGTCTTTGAAAAAGTTACTAGCACTACTGAACGTTACTATTTTTGGCAAATTGGCAAAAGCAAATTCAGTCTTTCTGCTCAACTAATAACGTAATAGCTATCAGAATTAAAATGTCAATGAATCATGTTTAATGAGACGTTTATATTTTGGTGTTTATTAAAAAAATTATGAGAATGTATTAGTAAATATAGCTGCAAAAAATAAGTATGGAACCAAGCACACAAACTCCATAAATGTATTAATGTATTAAATATAGCATCCCTGGTAATTATTTTAATCTAGCAGGATTAAAATCCATAACTACAGGTATCATTCAGTGCTCTGTGACCAAAATAGGCATTCTGTGCTTACGTAATAAACTTGTTTTCAAGCTTAAAGTACCACCTTCATGTTTTGTTTAATTTTGATTAATTTTCAATTAAATTCAATTGAAGTTTATTTGTATAGCGCTTTTTACAATACAAATCGTTGCAAAGCAACTTTACAGAAAATTAAGTTTCTACAATATTTAGTAGTAGCTTATCAGTGATGACTGTCAGTTTATGTACATATGGCAGAAATGTACGGAAAAATCAATTAAAGACGTAATCAAACAGACGATGAACACTATTAACAGTAATTATTATATGATGCAATCAAACATATAGCAAAGTTGGTAGTTCTGTATGTTGTTTCAGGGTTGGCATCATCTGAGGTCCTCTGAGGGGTTTACATCATCTCTTCTCAGGTGTTCTGGATCCAGACTGAAGCTTGTGTAAATCCTAGTTACAAAAAACAGAGAAACAAATAGAGACATAATTAGCGTAGCTGCTGTTCCAAGCAAAATTTATTTGTTTAACCCAAGCTAAAGAATAATAATGCACATTTGATCAGATATAACTGCAGTACAAGATTATGAGATTCATTATTTGAATGTTTGGCCAAAGAGATGTGTCTTTAATCTAAATTTAAACAGAGAGAGTGTGTCTGAACCCCGAACGTTATCGGGAAGGCTATTCCAGAGTTTGGGAGCCAAATGCGAAAAAGCTCTACCTCCTTTAGTGGACCTTGCTATCCTAGGTACTACCAAAAGTCCAGAGTTTTGTGACCTTAGGGAGCGTGATGGATTGTAGTGTGGTAGAAGACTAGTTAGGTACGCAGGAGCTAAACCATTAAGGGCCTTGTAGGTAAGTAACAATATTTTGTAACTGATACGGTACTTAATAGGTAGCCAGTGCAGATACTGTAAAATTGGGGTAATATGATCATATTTTCTTGACTCTAGTTGATGCATTTTGGACTACCTGTAGCTTGTTTATTGAAGATGCAGGACAACCACCTAGCAGTGCATTACAATAGGCCAGTCTAGAGGTCATGAATGCATGAACTAACTTTTCTGCATCAGAAACAGGTAACATGTTTCGTAGCTTGGCAATGTTTCTAAGATGGAAGAATGCTGTTTTTGTACCATGGGAAATATGATTTTCAAAAGACAAGCTGCTATCTAATATAACACCCAGATTTTTGACTGTAGAGGAAGTAACAGTACATCCGTCTAGTTGCAAATTGTAATCCAAGAGATTCTGTGTACTGTTTTTTGCACAGTCTCTCTTTGCATTTGGATGTTAAAATCAGAAACCGTAATGTCACACATCACTGTCAGAACATAGTTGCATGTGTCTGGCACTTGAAAGAATTGACCATCAAAGGTCTTGAAGTGGAAATTTCCCCATGTGCTGCAGATCGTGGACTGATGATCAGGATTTGGTTGAACTAAACCAAGAGAGACAGTTTTTAAATATCTAATCTGTGATAAGTACTTTCAGTGAGCAAAGATACTCAATTTAGTTCCCTGAATGCTGAAGCTAACTGATGCTAAACATGCAGTTTAAATACTTGTTTAATACCTTTTGTTACCATCACAGTCGTCATTGGGAACACTAAATATAACAGACAAAAAGAAAAACTGTTTTAATTTTTTATGAAACACATTTGTTTGCAAAAGAAAAGAAAACTTTCCTTCTAAAAATGTTATAAGACGGATATAGATTCACAGTGTTACACAAGTCATATTTTCCCACTCAAAAATAATACACCTCAAAATGTCTTTGCTGTAATATTTATGAATATTTCTGAACATATTGTTACTGAACTTTGAACGTCCTAAATAGTGTTTTACAATTATAATGCGCAGACCACTTAAGCTTTTACTTTTACTTTATTCATAATTAGAAACTTGACTGAAAGAATGTTACATATTTTAAAGATTGAAATGATCAGTTCGTTCAGTTTTCTATTCCATAATTAGTGTTTCAATTGTCATTGACCTTACAACCACAGTTAAAATCTTGTAAGTTGGTTCATATAATTGTTTTATCATATTAAAGTTTATGATATTAAATTGGACATTTTTGTCATCTATGTTAAATTTTAATCAACAATTAGAATTTTTCAGCAAAATTTGTAAAAACAAAAAAAAAGTTACAAAATTTCAGGCAGAGTGAACTTTACTGTTATCAGTCTGTCTATATTTTTTTATTGATGAGAAATTTAAACTGAAATACTTTGATTAAATATATTTGAATTTACTTATACAAAAGGTTTTAGGTTTACTTCTTCTGATTGATCTGATGGTTCTTGGTCAGTACATCTCATATAATACATAACTACATAAAAAAATATTCACCTGTTGTTGTTGTTGGCGGCCAGGTTGTAAAGTCCATAGGATCCTTCATAACATCCCCATAATCCCCCAAGAAGCCTTTAACATAGAAAGAGGTTTTTAAATGATATTTTCAGTGTCATTTCAAGGATTTCAATGTTTTTTGCTTCTTTTTTTCAGTTTTATTCTGCTTACCTGCTTGTACCGACTGCAGCCCCATCAGCAGGATGACCCATCTCAGCATGCACATCTGGGACATCCTCACAGTCCCCATGGAGACAACATCCATCCTCAAGAGCTAATGCGAGTTATCTGTCAGCACTTGTCCTTTTATAATTGCTATTAGTTTGTTTGGAGGAATGTAGTTTGTGATCAGAGGGTGGACCCGTTGCTTGAATTTGGCCTTGGGCTTGGTAGATACTTGATGCAAACAAATATTTAATGTCTTCGTTGGTGATATTAAATAAACTGTATTTAAATGATGAGAAAGACGTTCGGCCACACAATGATTCATTATTCGCTTGTTTGAATTACAAGGATGTACAAGGATGTGGCTCTTGACTCGTCCCCAATGTGAAATATATTTGATTTAGCAATGTAATTTTTGTAATTGTCAAATTGTCTTTGAAAAAGTTGCTAGCACTACTGAACGTTACTATTTTTGGCAAATTGGCAAAAGCAAATTCAGTCTTTCTGCTCAACTAATAACGTAATAGCTATCAGAATTAAAATGTCAATGAATCATGTTTAATGAGACGTTTATATTTTGGTGTTTATTAAAAAAATATTGAGAATGTATTAGTAAATATAGCTGCAAAAAATAAGTATGGAACCAAGCACACAAACTCCATAAATGTATTAATGTATTAAATATAGCATCCCTGGTAATTATTTTAATCTAGCAGGATTAAAATCCATAACTACAGGTATCATTCAGTGCTCTGTGACCAAAATAGGCATTCTGTGCTTACGTAATAAACTTGTTTTCAAGCTTAAAGTACCACCTTCATGTTTTGTTTAATTTTGATTAATTTTCAATTAAATTCAATTGAAGTTTATTTGTATAGCGCTTTTTACAATACAAATCGTTGCAAAGCAACTTTACAGAAAATTAAGTTTCTACAATATTTAGTAGTAGCTTATCAGTGATGACTGTCAGTTTATGTACATATGGCAGAAATGTACGGAAAAATCAATTAAAGACGTAATCAAACAGACGATGAACACTATTAACAGTAATTATTATATGATGCAATCAAACATATAGCAAAGTTGGTAGTTCTGTATGTTGTTTCAGGGTTGGCATCATCTGAGGTCCTCTGAGGGGTTTACATCATCTCTTCTCAGGTGTTCTGGATCCAGACTGAAGCTTGTGTAAATCCTAGTTACAAAAAACAGAGAAACAAATAGAGACATAATTAGCGTAGCTGCTGTTCCAAGCAAAATTTATTTGTTTAACCCAAGCTAAAGAATAATAATGCACATTTGATCAGATATAACTGCAGTACAAGATTATGAGAT